ACAATGAAAGAAATGTCTAAGACGTTGGGCCTGAATCTTTGATTTTTCCAGACTCATCTTAAAAACATATGCATAATGGCTTCTAACTATGCATTTTAGCAGCAGTTTTAAGAATCAATTACAAGTTTTGTTTGGGGTTTTTTTTAAATCATGACTGGTGATATGTTCAGTTTATCAACAACAAAATAAAACAAGCTGGCCATTTCACAAAAAAGAAAAAGGAAAAAAAATACTACTTTCTCTGAAGTAAAGTTTTGGTAATATAAAAGAACAAATATTTTGTACCTTGGTATAGTAGACAGAGGAAAAAGACTGTAGAGGCTTGCAAATGTTTAAGTACTTGATTTGAGATATACAGCTAATCAAGTTAATGCCTGCTGCTTAGTTGAGAACTGTTTTATTTTAAAAGGGGGAAACTTTTCTGTAATAAGGCAAATGGGTGCACTGGTCAGATTTGACTTTGGTAAAATACCTACTGTGTGCAGGCACTTCAGAAAAGAAAAAAAATGAATGAATTAGACAAGTGTGATTACTGGCCAGGTTTGAGTTCCCTCAGAATTATGAGACAAAAATGATAGAGCCTTAACTGGAGATCATCCAGTTAAAATGAAGGCAGACGTTAAAATATTATTTATAAACTGACACGAAAGTCAAACTACAGTAGTTGGTTGAAAGAATATAAAGCATATAGTACTCTAAGTATTATTTTAAGTATGAGAAACAGACATTAGTAATGAATAGATTTCATTTCAGGGGGGGAAAAATTAAAGGATTATTCTCTCTCTTTACTTTTTCATTCTAGATTCTTATAACATGCATCAATGTTACATGCCTGAATACAATTTGTGTGAATTCAGCAACAGTTTAAGTTTATATTTAAGGTATGTTTCAGTTACTGAAAAAAAGTGTCCAACTGATCTAGCAGCTGAGGGATTACTCATCACAATATCTGATTACTGGCATATTAAGCAGCAGACAAAGCAAAAATGAGCAAACATGAAGCTATGTACTTTCCAAATAAATATATTTTAACAATTGCTAATCAAATGCATAATATCAGCAATGATTTACATTTATAAAATAGAAATGGCCAATTATGAACGAGGTCAAAAGAAATCCTCAGCTCTGTTCCCCTTTTGAATTTGTCGTGTCTAGTATCCCACAGAGCTTCAGTTTTCTTTTAAAAATATATCTGACTCCTACTGATTAGGTAACTTGCCTTACTAGCTAAATCAATATGTTACTGCTATGCTCGGCCAGCCTTGCAGAAGAAACAAATGAAAACAATAGCAGTAGCAAAGGTGTCATACCTACCTTCCTCTCCCCCGCTCAACTTCATCCACATGAAGCCATTGGTTTCTCATATTTGTAAACCCTTTAAAATATCAGCAGTATATAAAAAAAACCTTAAATATCAGGTCTATATAGTGAACATTAAAATATTAAAAATGTGATTGGGTATATAAAGTTTCAGTCCTTTTTTAAAAGGGAAAAAAAAAAGCAATTGGGCAAATTTTCCTGGTTCAAACTGACCTCTTAAACAATGTGTAATCTGAAAATGCTAAATGTTAAGGCCAGATTTTCCTATGGAGACTGACTATGTAGACTTTTCTAATTAACATGTAATCTGAAAATATTATGCATCAGGATAAAAGTTTCATTTAATGGATTTTCAGATAGGGTATTTATGGACTAGGACTTCAGATTTGCAACACATCTCATAGCTCAGTTGAATCTTTTGATTTCTTTCTAGCTGAAAAGGCTAAGTAGTTGTAAATGCCTCTTGTCCTTTAGAAAGTTGGCTCCTCTTATACAAGTAATCTCAGAATCCACTGAGCAAATTCAATGAAAATTATTATGAAAAGTTGCATTTGGGTGGTAGTTGGGGTGATTCCGTAATTATATATAGGAAATGCTGCATACATCTTAGATCTTAGTTCTTGATTTTTTAGTAGCATGAAACATGGATAGAACCATAATCTAGAAGTACATATTTACGGTCACCATGGAAGGAAGCGTATGAGCAATGGAGACAATAACTACAAACGCAAAAAGACAAAGCGCTTACAGTATGTTTTCCCTTCAGTGGTCTTTCAATGCAGAGTAAATATCATTCCAGCTCTTAGAAATCATCATTCTTTCCCCCTTTTTATTTCAAAATGGTTGCATATTTTTTCATTCACGAAAAGGTTAAAGGCGTTTCCCCCATCGCAAGAGGGATTATCTTACCAGAGGATTCTGGGACTGCAGATGTATACTGCGGCAAAATCCTAAATTCATCGGCAAAAAATCATTTCCAGACCCCAGCTGCTAAAAATAATAGAATTATAGTAAATCATTGATAAGATTAAAATATAAAGCCATTTTTACATTCCAGAGTGTTCCAAAACACGAGACTTTTCTCTTAATTCATTTCTTAAATAATGCAAATTTTAAAGTAGCTTTTCTATCCTGAGCACGCAGCGCCATGAAATCGATAATTTTTGATCTTTTGGTTAGTAGGCAACATGGTGAGCTATTGCAGTGACTGCAGGCAGCAGACATGTTCTTGTCAGCTAAAAATTTTCATATTGTTTTTGAGTCCATTGAGATTTGTAGATGGGGTATAACCAGTTATAGCTTCAGCTCACACTTTGCTATAGGGGTGTAAAACAGCACAGTTTTATATACATGTCTACATGTAGATAGATAGATAGATAGATAGATTTTAAACCAAGAAGCATTACTGGATTTTAAACAAAAAATTATGTAAAAAGAATGGCTGGTGTGATTATAATCACATCATGCAGGGTCCACGGTTTCCATTTAGTGAAATTTCGCAGAGGGCAACTTCTTAAGAACATCCCTGCTGTGCAGAGTGAAAAGCATGAACAAACCAAAGACAGAATTCATCTGTGTTTATATTTTACAGACAATGAAAAACCTACTCTTTGTATGCCTTTTTTTCCACCTTATTATTTCACGAAAACTGCAGCATTTTCCCCGCCCCCACCCGCACACTCGCCACCCCAGCACTGCGGTGTTCGGTGTTTCTTTCTTTCTGTTTTTTTCACCTCTTCTTCTTTTTTGCTTTCACAAATTCTGCACGCGCCATCTTTGTCTATTGTTATTCTTTTCTAATTTCAGTTACCCATTCTCTTTCAAATCAGTTAATAACTAGAATGCTAAATGCCTGATCGATGCTTGTGTGTTTAGTTTTCCCCCCAAATTTCTCAAGAAAAATTAAATAAAAAACCACCCCACCCTAAAAATTTTCTCTGTTACCATAACCTGTTGTATACAGTGGTGATAAAAAACATTATTAACATAATAGCAACAGCTGCAGCCTAAATAGAAGCTATGAGATAATTAATGTGCTACAACAAATTAATTTGCTGCAGGTGCTTGTGCTCTGAACTGAGTAACCCAAGCCATTTCAAGTCTGAATACAATTATTATTCCCCCCACACATGCTAAAACAAAATGCAGAGTGCAATGTCCTGTTATTATAAATATCTTGTGTACTTATTGTCAAAGACCATCCTGTCCCCTGGATGTTTTAGTCATCAGCAGAGAAGACAGGAATAGAGGATTAAAACCCAAACAGAAATCTATCACATGCAAAAATATTTAAAGAGGCTCCATGATGTGTTCAGGATTGAAGATGTCCATCTAGATAATACACTCCACCAATCATCTCTGACCTGTTATATGCCAGAGCTTTGTAGATAAGATATTACACATGTGGAACTGGGAAGGTGGGGGCTGTAAACATCTCAGAAGTCTAATGCAAATTGGAATACTTTGGGTGTTCCATCAACTTTAAAGCAGAGAAAATAAATTATATTTAGAGTTTAGCATATGTGATCTGCAGTGAACTAAATGGAGAATTCTCTTCTCTTTTCTGATAAATATAGTTTTCATGGAAGTCAGTTCCTAGTTCCTTACAGACGGATGCCACTAACACACTGCAGCACTCCAAAGCTACAAGGACAGGAGGCTAACTAAAGGCAAACTCCATTTTTATTTTTGCATTTGAACGCAAAAACTATATTCTTGCATGTAAAACTAAAACCACGTATGCAGACCTGCCTGTTTGAAGCCTTGTGAAGAGGTTAAACTGAGGGTGAAATTTAGAGCTAAATTGTGCTGATTTTATTAGCTTTCCATTTGCATTGACACAACATAAATTACTTCCTTTTAAAATGTAATCAAAGCAAATTATATCCCGTGTGTTTTAAACAGCTGGTAAAACTCATGAAATTTTTTATTCTGGGATATAAACAAGTAGAATCTCCATGTGTGTCTGTATCCTAAAAGCAGCTATAAAACAATTTTCTTGGACACTGCAGAGATTTCATCTCTATTTTGCCTTAACCTCACAGTAATTAGAAGGATCATTATTGCTGAAACACTACCTGCATGGCATTATGTGAGGGTTGGTGAATGCTTACTCACAAGTAGTCCCATAAAAGTCAAGTAGATTACTTATGAACAAGTGTAAGGTTGCACAATGGGATTCTAAACTAGAATATCAGATATTTGTTCCCTTAATAATAAAAAGCCCCATCATTTTCCAAACCTGTATGCTAAACCAGTCAAATAAGCTTTTTTACATAATAAAGGTTTTTATGTGATACACCTATTTTATTTTTGCAGTTGCTTCATAACCACTCCAAGGACCTGATTTTTAAGCCAGATTCAGACCAAACCTCCATTGAAATCCATGCCTATTTTGCTAAGAGCCAGCAACTAGGTCAATCCCTATATTGATGTTTCAAATACTCTCCATATTTTGTTATATTCTACTAAAAATATCACCATCCAATTTATTGACATACAATGCTCTTTGGCCCATGTAGCGGCAGTGGGGGGAACTTTTCCTTGAACTTCTGTACAAACTGGGTGTTTCCACAATCTACAATTTCTCTTTTTCTATGTTATATTTGGCACTATAAAATGGGCAAAAGTTAGGCTCCAGGCTTTGAACATCACCAAAAAAATACTGGTAGGCAAGCTGTTCAGGATCGTGTTCTTATCTGAAAAATAAGGAGGAGCAATATTTATGCCCGAAAGAAGTGGCCATATATTGTTGTCAGTGAAATTCAATAAGGACTACTGATTAAAAACTTGGTACAACATGACTAAAGAAATAAAAGGTAAATGCATTATTCAAGGATGGGCCTGGTGGAGAAGTAATTGGCTCATCAACAATTTGTCACTTTGTTTTTGTATCTATCTGAGATAGTTGCATGGCACTCATCATTAAAGTAGCTGAGCCCTTCACTTGACTCCCCCTCCCCGCCCCCCAACCAACATTTCCTGTAGAGCGCATGATTTGGGAGCCATGCCAAGAGATACTTGCACCTAACCACAGCAGTTCTCCATGCATTTTTTTCCACATATGGTCTACAGGGGAATACAATATGTTCATGCATACCACGGCCTATGCCTCCTCAGCCTGCCAATATGTCCGCTGTGCCAAGAGAGCTCTGCCTGGTCCTGGCATGTGGGGACGTGGCTGTGGAACTGGCCAGCCCCCCAACCCACAGCATAGAAGAGGGGTGATATGATTAGCATGGACTTCTCTACACGTTGCTCAGGCAGGGGACAATCTGATCCTTAGCTGTCAGTAACCACTTCATCCAATGAAGGATTGTGTGCTGGTGTTTCAAGTTGGCTACAGGGATTCAAGACTTCTGGGCTCTACTCTTGCTTCTACCTCACCTGGTAACCTTGGGCAAGTCAACCTTTTTGGCTTCAAATTACCTACTTCAGAGCAGTACTATGAGGTTTGAGTAGCTCATATTTGCTATACTAGTATTACAGTTTTCTTGTAGCCACAATGGTCCAGGGAATACACGAGAAGCAAGGTTTGTGAGGCAAGGTAATATCTTTTATTAAAAGCTAATATTTGCAAAGCATTTTCAGGTCCTCAAATGAGCTGTGCTATAGAAGTACTATTATCAGCTGAGGATTTGGGCCTTTGGAAATAATACGAAAAATGTTATTGGAGTCAGTTGCTAACAGACAATTTTTTGTACCAAGCCTCTGTACTGGGAGCATCATAGGGAGGACCATCCACCAGAGCTCCTCTGGAAGCAGTGCTTAAGATCCCTGGATGACAGCCATCTCCTTCTACACACCATTTCCTTTATCTTCCAGCTTTGGTGCCTTTTGACATTGCTTCTCTCCTCACAGCTGCTCCAGATTAGGAGCTAGCACACAGCTCATCAAATTAGTTTTGTGATCAGTTAACGCTGTTGGGATGCTGTGCAGGATGCACTGCAGTTTTGCTGAGTAAATAGCAGCAAGGCAGAAATTTAAGTCTGATATTGCATGTCTAGTGCAAGGGGCCTTGAATATGACTGAGCTCGTGCTGAGGAAGGATCAGGGAGCCAATGAGGAGGTCTAGGAAAGGGAGGGATACTCAGTGCAAGTGGGGAAAAATCCAAGCAGGAGAAAGGGAAGCCATCTGCCAACTGTCTCCCCTTTGAAGAGCTCTGCAAACAGGATCAGGTTGCCAGTAACCTCATCTCCTCCCAGATGCAACACCATCCTGAAGATGACTGTTGTGGGAAATGGACTCTACCAGAGACAAGGGGCACACAGCACCTCATTTATAACTTATTAGCCCATTTATTGTTCAACAATAGGAAGCTAAAAATTTTCTTGCAATGTTGGGAGTGGGACTGCATTTGTATTCACACGAGTTGTATTAGGGCATATAACACTGATACATGTATTGACTTTCAATCTCATTATAGATCCCCATTATAAATATCCTCAGCTATACGTATCTAACAGGAACTAAACACTAATGCACTTACAATATACAGATAGCCTCAATTTTTCCTCCCTCTAGCTACCTGAATCTGCACATTTATTGTATCTGGCTGTATACCTAAAATAAAGTACACATTAAAACCAATCCTGACTTTTAGAAATGTCTCTCAAGACCTTTGCATAATCAGTATTTACCTGCAAAATGGACAAACGGTACTTTTTCTTTCATTTCCTTGTCAATCTATGCTTCACCCATTTAAGTTCTCACTGTCAGACAGTTTAATAGCTTTATATTCTATGGAACTGATCAGATAGTTTAAAAATACATGTATTTAATATTTTCATGAACAAAAGCACTGCATTTAAGTTGTGATTTCTAGTGTTGTAATTGCAAATATTTAGATGTTTATTGAGACAATAACAATGAGTCCAACAAGCTCTCTCTACTTTGGCTCAAGCCTTCATTTGAAAATTTGCTCCACAAATTCATTATTTTTAATAAAAAATATCCCTTGTTTAAATCAACAAACAAAAGCAATACAATAAAATTATGTGAATTAGTCAAACAAAACTGTTTACCAAGGAACATATAGGCTGAAAAATATTCATTATTATTCAATTTCTATTCATTGAAATAATTATCAATAATTCAGTATCACTGAATTATTGTCTATCAAAAAAAGGAGTAAATTGGTAACAGATATTCAAAACAAACAGTTCAGCCAGCACTAGTCATCTGAATCATTTCAAAGTACACTTTAGCCTCAGCCACATAGTAACAACACTATCCAAAGTGTCAGCTAGCTTTGGAATTATAAAAAAATGTTGTTGCAGAAAAGGTGACAATAATGGATCTTACTGGAGCTGAGATCCAAAGTAAAACCTCTGCACATCAGAGAGAAAAATCTGAGCCAAGACACTGATAATGAGTATGGCGAGTAGTTTTTCTGCTTATGGGTGGAAAAGCCAGAGAAGTCTCCGTTTGAAGACAAAGCACATAGTAATGTCATCATAAACATCTCCTAATGGGAACTATGTGATGTACAGTAAATATATTCCTTTCAATATATCATTTCTTATACCTACCTTCTTTTAAGAGGACTCTACACTTTAGTGTGTACGTTACAGCAACTGGCAGGCAGAGATGTTTCACCTGTTTTATTATTACTACTATTATTTATGTTGTTAATATTTAATATTTATATTGCAGCAGCTCCCAAGAAATCTAATCAGATGTGGGGCTCAATTTTTCTCAGCAATTCTAGGCCGGTCTGAGGAGCTTACAATCTATGGAAACTAGTGACATAGAAAGGGCAGGGAGGAAAGTACAATAATTATAGGTGGGGCTATTAACACTACCTGTTATTAAGCTTGTCTGACACTACCCACGTAAGACCAGTTCTCAGTTGCTTATAACTTTATTAGCTCTCCTTGTGTGCCATGGTTATCTAGCCATTCCAGATCAGTTGATTGTGTTTCATTTAAGCATCATAGCAGGTACACGTGAGCACATGCATGCGCACATGTGTGTGTGAAAGAGGGGGGCCTCATTGGCCATTTATTTTATTTCCCTTTAAACAGCCTTTTATCACAATTAATACAAGAAATTGTAAAAAAAAAAAGATATAATTTGCTTTTTAAAATAAACGCAGAATTGGTCAAATGCCTCCTAAATGACTAACATTGAAATTGTATCTGTCTCATTGGAAAGGGCATGTCCCCTAGATTTTCAGTAATAGCTTCTATTCGTCTTACTTTACTCCATCCATCCTATAATATTGTTAGCAATTAAACTGTATGGCTGGTAATCCTAGGACTCATCTTAAACCAGTGGTTTTCAACCTGTGTTTGCAGACCCTTGGGGATCCACAGACTACATCTAAGGGGTCTGCGAAAATTGACTATGATCAATCAAAAGTATATAAATAGCCATACTTACAATTCAAAGGTGTCCACACCTTCATTTGAAATTTCCAAAGGGGTCTGCACCTCCATTCAAACTTTTTTTAGGAGTCCACAAATGAAAAAAGGCTGAAAACTACTGTGTTAGACCCTTAAACACTATGCAGTCAAAGGCTAGGGACAGAAATTATACATAAATCAATATAAGTGATTAGAAACAGGTTCAAATCTGTAACACAACAGAAGTTCAGTGCACATAAACCACTTTCAAAATGGCCAAAATTGGTTTAAGATGAACCTGGATGGATGCAGTATTAAACTTAACTGTTTTATGCTAAATCGGTTTATTGAACTTCTGTCCCAGATCCCTTCCAGAATCAAGTTAACTCACAATCCCCCAGCATCCCAGGATACTTTGCATCTCCCCCACAAACCTTCCTCTGCAGGGTGGGCAGGCTAGCCTTGGGGCAAGCTGTCTGCTCCAGCCAAGTAGGGAGGCATACTCTAGTGCAGGGATGGGCAAAATATGCCCCATGGGCCGGATACAGCCCACCTGGTCATTCTGTCTGGCCCGTGGGGTCCTTTAAAAAAAACAATTATTACTGGCCTGGGGTGGAGAGCTCATGCCTGCAGTGCCAGGAGCCCCACATGCTGGTATGGAGCCAGCCCAGCCAGCCTGATGCCACATGGCTCACGGAAGGAATGCAAGGAGCCACACAAGGTGGCATGGAGCCTGCCTGGCCCAACGGTGCACAGACCAGGAGCCGCAGGGAGTTACACATCATCAGGCTCTGTGGGCTCCATGCTGCCACATGTGGCTCTCGGCACTCCTTTCAGGAGCCATAAAGCATTGGGCCAGCAGGGTTCCATGCCAACAT